CTCGAACCCGCAGGCTCAGGCAATCCACTCACCTCAGCCTCCCAAAGGCGCAGGATTACAGACTGAGCCACCGAGCCCAGCTTGACCTGGTTTTTTTAAATATAAGGTTGAAAGAGACTTGAGCCTTGTCAAGCCATGATAATGTGTGGCATTATTTGGGTCCTTATTTGAACAAACTATTATTTATTTATTTATTTCAATGTTGAGACTAATTGAAACAGAGATGTTTGAACATTAATTGGACATTTGATGTCAATGAATTAATGTTAATATTTTAGATGTGATGATGTCATTGTGGTTATGTTCTTCTAAAAAGTCTGTCTTTGAAAGCTGGGGACGGTTTTGTCCCCCAGAGGATAATCGGCAATGTCTGGAGACATTTTTGGTCATTAAAAGTGGGAGGGGGGAGTGTTAGTGGCTTCTAGGGGATAGAGAGAGGCCAGGGCTGCTGTTAAACATCCTGCATTACCCAGGACAGCCGCTACTACAAAGAATTATCCAGCCCCCAAGGTCAAATGATAAACTGTGTTTTATAGATACAAATGATACCAATAAAATAATATCATCTTAGCTTTGTTTCAAGATAATATAATATAGGGGTTAGGGTAGATAGTAATAGACGAAATAAGATGGTTTAACCATGAGTTGTTAAGCCTGGGTAATGGATATATTAGGGTTCATTACACTATCTCTCTATTTTTGTATGTGTTTAAGATAAATGTTTGAAAAATTATTGAAATAGTGGTATGGTGGCACATACACCCGGATCCCAGCTGCTTGGGAGGCTGAGGAGGTGGAAGGATTGCTTGAGGCTAGGAATTTAAGGCTGTATTATCACACCTGTGAATAACCACTGCACTTAAGCAAGACCCTGTTTGTTTAAGAAAATGCTGAATAGAAAATGTAAAGAAATAAAATTGTCTCCTTTTTTCCCTCTGCAGGCCCTGTTAAACCTGGCAGAGCGACTGGGAGAGGCTAAGCCTCGTGGACTGACTAAAGCAGATATTGAACAACTTCCTTCATATCGGTTCAATCCTAACAATCACCAGTCAGAACAGACTTTGTAAGTATATTTTTATGATAAAGATAAATTTTCTATCTCATACTCTAGGACTGTGCTGTCCAGTAAAGTAGCCACTAGGCACATAGAGCTATTTAGGTTAATAATTAAGTCTCATACATATAAAGTTTGAGGTTTTTACCTGAAAGTTCTGCTTATCATAGGATATTTTTTGAAGCAGCTTTATTGAGATAGAATTTACATATTATAAAATTCACTTATTTAAGTGAATTCAGTGGTGTCTAGTATATTCAGAGTTATGCTACTGTCGCCACAATCAAATTTATACCCTTTTTAATACTCCAAAAATGAGCCCTTCACCCGTTAGCAACCACTTCCCATATCTCCCCAATCCATTCTACCTCACCCCAGGACTGCCTCCTCCATCCCCAGCCTCTACTTTGTCTCTCTGTAGGTTTTACCTAAATGGGATCATATAATCATAAGGTCTTTTTGTATCTGGCATCTTTTACTTAGCATAGCTTTTTCAAGGTTCTTCTATGTTGTAGCTTTTATCAGTAAGTTGTTTCTTATTATGGCCAAATAATATTCCATTGTATGGATATACCACATACTTATTTTTTCGTCAGTTGATGGACGTTTGGGTTGTTTTTACTTTTCCGCTATGAAAGATACCAAAGCCAAATATTGACTTTGAATAATGCTGCTGTGAGTATTTGCATGCAAGTTTTTCTTTGAATATATGTTTTCGTTTATCTTGAGTATACAACTGAAAGTGAATGGCAGGGTCAGATGGTAACTTTAAACTTTTAGATTTGTCAGACAGTTTTTCCAAGGTGGCTACACCGTTTTATATTTCCACCAGCAATGTACAAAGGTTTTGATTTCTCCACATCTTTGTTAATACTTGTTAACGTCTGTCTTTTTTTATTAAAACCATCCTAGTGGGTATGAAGTTGTATCTCATTGAGATCTTGATTGCATTTCCCTGATGGCTAATGATTTGAGCATCTTTTCATGTGCTATTGGCCAATTGTGCATCTTCTGTCGAGAAATGTCTTTCTCCATTTTTGAAATCGGATTGTCTTTGTAATACTGAGTTGTAGAAGTACTTGATGTAGCATAGACACAAATCTCTCATTAGATCAATGATTTTATGATTAAATTATCTTTTTGCTTTTTCAGGTGTGTAGTATGCATGTGTGATTTTGAGTCAAGGCAGCTACTTAGAGTCTTACCCTGTAACCACGAGTTCCATGCCAAGTGTGTTGACAAATGGCTTAAGGTAAAGTGATGCCATCTGTAAAGGAATTAACATTGAATTTTCTGTTTTACTGACGTATAAGTTTATATGGGTAAGTCCATGATTTAGGAGAGAGTATAGGGGATAAGACTGAAACACAGCCTTCAGTATGATCTCTACAAATGAAGAGAAAACACTAGTAAAAATTAACTGCAGTTGGCAAGGCACAGTGGTTCATGCCTATAATCCCAGCACTTTTGGAGGCTGAGGTAAGAGGATTGCCTGAGCCCATGGGTACGAGACCTGCCTATAGTTCCAACTACTTGGAAGGCTAAGGCAGAAGGGTCGCCTGAGCCCAGCAGATTGAGGCTGTGGTGGCCATGAGTGTGCTACTGCACTCCAGCCTGGGCAACAGAGTGAGACTCCAACTCAAAAAAAAAAAAATTAACTGCAGTCATCAACATAGGAGGAGTGACCATGCAAAACCTTAAAATGGGTTGTCTATCCTTGACAATCAGTATGTCCTGACTTCTTCTTGGTATGGAAGGAACAAGGCCTGAGCTTGTTAGGCCACAGTTTCCTCTTATAATTGAGAAGGCTACCTAACTAGAACTCCTTTGTCAGAGGTTTACACAGAAATAAACATCTAGTGCTTTTATTTAATTCTGACCATTTTCTCCTTTGCATATATGAAAAAAGGCCCAACAAATACAAATCCATAACAGTGGTTATGCCAGGGTGAGATTATTAGGGGCTTTTTTTTCCTCTTTTTTATGTTTCGTTTACTCTTCATACTTTCATAGTCTGAAAGCCTAATTGTAGGATAAAAATGTGGTGCGGTAAAATAAACAATCAACTTTATGTTATTTGTTTAAGAAAGTGTTCTAATTTGGAGATAAAACCAATTTATGTAACTCCACAGTTTGGTGAGGAAGATAGATAAGAGTTAAGTAGGCACAGTTCCAGGGTACCCAGCTTAGCCCATACTGAATCTTAAAGATGAAGAGTCTTAACTTTTTAGGGAAAAAAAGCATTATCTGTTCAAATCCCTGACATATGAGAACAGAGAGCTACAGAAAACCACAAGTTCCCTGTGACTAATAGCTGGAGTGTGAGGAAGAGTGGCAAGAGAAAAGATTCAGAGAGAAAACCCCAGAGTCCAGCTTATCATGAAACCACTCTGAAGTGTGAAGCAGCTTGAACTTGATTCTGAAAGCAGTGGGGAAGAATATAACTGAGATTGTGTTTTAGAAAGATCACTGGCCACTATTTGGAGAAGAAGTGGTTTCAGAGTGTGGCAGTTGGATGGAAAGAAGGGCTGGTCTGAGAACTATCAGTGTAGAAATGAGAATATTTGGTGAATGATGGGTTATAGGAAGTAAGAGGGCAGGTGAATGGCTTATGTTTCTGTCTTTAGCAACTTGACAAAGGATAGTGCCATTTGTTGAAATGGAGACAGAGCAAATTTAGAAACCAGGGAAGGGTAAGTAGAGTCATGAATATGGATAAAAACTTCTATTTTACAATCAGGCTTTCCTAAGTATCACTGTGTTTTTCTCTATGGCTTTTCCATCAAGAATAACCAGCATGGCCGAGCCCGGTGGCTCACACCTATAATACTAGTGCTTTGGGAAGCCAAGGCAAGAGGATTGCCTGAGCCTGGGAGTTCGAGATCTTGGAGAGACCTCGTCTCTACAATAAATCAAGAAAAATTAGCCAGATGTGGTGTAATTCAGCTACTTGGGAGGCTGAGGCAGAAGGTTCACCTGAGCCCAACAGGTTGAGGCTGTGGTGGCCATGAGCATGCCACTGCACTCCAGCCTAGGTGATGGAGTGAGACTCCAACTTAAAAAAAAAGAATAACCAATGTTTTACTTTTAAGTCATGTATTAAATTTGTCTGAACTGGTAAATAGTAATCTTGTTTATATATTTGAGCATACCTATTTTTATTTTATTTTATTTTTTTGAGTTGGAGTCTCACTCTGTTGCCCAGACTGGAGT